CAAAAAGACCATACATAAAACACTAAGGCAAAGAGCCCAGACAAAAAACACTAATCTAACACAGACTCAAATTTTTTTTGTATGGCTTAATACATACCATTGAATAATATCCTGTTTTAGATATGGGACTTTGTATCAGTGAAGTTTGATTACATGCTTTAGGGTGTGATTAGTTATGAACTAGTAAAAAAATTAATCAAACTTAAAGTTAATTTTACTTTAACTCAATCTCAATATCTTTAATATTTTTAATATAAGTTAAATAATATCAATCAATCATTCTTACACAACACAAACTTAAATTTAACTCTACTTTAACTCAATCTCAATATTTTTAATATTATTAATATAATTAAATAATATCAATCAATCATTCTTACACACCACAAAGTTAAATTTAACTCAACATTAACTCAATCTCAATATCTTCAATATTATTAATATAATTAAATAATATCAATAATCATTTTTACACATAAATCACATGTATGTACTTAAATTTTCTTAAATGTAATGGGCTTATTCTCCCCCAAATATCGCTCTTCTTTTGTCGTCAACTTTCAGTCAAATTCTGCCTCCTTTAGCAGTCGGCGGGTTCACCGGTGGACGGCTGACGGACGGTGGTGCTCTTCTATGGGGTTTATCTCCAAAGGGGGGGCGGGCTAGGTCGTCGTCAGTTTTGGCGTTGTTGGGTCTGTCGAGGGTCGCCGTCGTCCTGAAGCAATGGGGTTCCGGTGGGAAGCGATCCCAATGACTAGGATGCGGCTTGGTGTTCTTCTCTTGCCTTGGTCCGTCGTCTCTGCTTTCCAGTCGTCGACAAGCAGCTTTTCGATCTCAAATCCCTCAGTGTTGCAGGTGTGTTTGGGATGGGGTTCGTCCTTGAGGGTAGGGTCGGTAGTAGTCGATGGTTCGGGCTGTATCGGAGAGGCCAGGCTGAGGTACCATTCGTAACCCTTCTTCTTACTCTCGTGGGAGGCCGACCGTTCTCGAAATTGGCTAGTAGTGATAGACAATCTTTGAATGGTACCGGATTTGGCTAGTGGTGTTAGCCGGTTGGGAGTCGATTGTGGTTTCTTGCGGTTGGAGAGTGGGTCGTTCTGTTTTGGATTGATTCGGGACTTAGGTCCTCGTCTTTGTTAGGCATTAGGCAGTGGCGGGCGGGGTTCCTGCGTCTCGGCTCTCCTCTTCTTGGAGTCGGCCTATGTCTGTTGTTCAATTCAAATGTTCTTTGAGGGAGGGCGTCGTTTTGTTATTCATCTTTAGTCCTTAGTTGATTTTTTATTTGCCTTTGAGTCTTGTGTTTTTGGTTTGGGCCGTTGGCCTCTGTGTTGGCCGAGTAGTGAGTGTGTATTACCCTGTTGGGGTCGTGAGTATTACCTTGTTGGGGTCGTAAGTATTACTCTGTTGGAGTCGTTTTCTCTCATTCTCCTCTTCGGAGCTTTTAGTTTATATAGTGTACATGTTTGTGTTTTAGTGTGTCGCTGAGTATTATAGCCTTGCTAGCTTTCGGTTCTCGACGGCCATCGACCAGTCCTCCCAGCTTTCTCAGTCGTTTGTTGTAATATTCAGCTATTGGCTGTCTCTTTGCACTTTCATGCGTTTATTTATAATATATCTATCATTTTGAACAAAAAAAAAATCATTCTTATACAACACATCAATTTTAATTCATTATTCATTCACTCACATAATTTTAACTAAACATCACTTCAAATCATTTTTTGTTACTACTTTTACATCAAATCAACTATAATTATTTATCCTGGATAATATTTTAGTTTAAACATATATTCTCACTACCAACTAACATCACTTTTTTTTTTTTTAATAAAAAATATATAAAATATAATCAAGTTCATATCCAATTAAACCCTTACTCTATGTGGGGTCGCAGTTATGGCTGTTGAATAAATGCTCATAAATGTTTAGCTTTGGAAAATGTTCAGAAAGGCCATAACATACTTATACCATAATTAAAACAAATTTATTTAACAATATATTTGTGCTTGCAAAAATTGTACTACCTCTTATTTTTAATATACGTCGTTTTGAGAAGTTGCACATTAATTAAAAATATTTTTTTTGTCAATAATAACCTTTTTTAATGAAGATAAAGATGAATGTTTTGAAAAAAAAAAGTGAATAGTGAATATGAAGACGTAATGTATTTATTAGCTAAATAAGGGTAATAATGGAAAAATATGTACAAAATTTTTAAAACGACATTTATTTGGCAAATAGTTGATAAAACTAGAACGAAATTTAAAAAAAAAATAGGAGGGAATAATAATTTTAATTTAATTCATTTATTTTTTATTTTTTATTTTCCTGAATTGCAGCCTGACAAAAAAATTTACCAAGATATAAATTGGGATCTCCTCAGTTTCACCAATCCCTTCTCAAAATTCCCAATGCACCTGGACAAGATTCTTCTTGAATCCTGGCATTATTTAGATTTTTAATAGACAGTTG